CCCCAAAACCCCAAAACCCCAAAACCCCAAAACCCCAAAAAACTTGTCAAAAATAGAATAATTTTGTTAATGAATTTCCTATTCCTAACCTCATTTTACATCAACTTTTTCGATCATTTCGAAAGCATGCTTGTCGATGCGCTCTCTGGATCAGTAGCATCGTTCATCACCACTATCCTGTTCCATCCTTTGGACTCTACCAGAATCCGATTGCAAAGTCTTGAAATCAACGACTCTGAAAAGACAGATGTAAGAGCCTTAATTTTGGGGGTTTTCTAATTATTTCATATAGAGCATTACCAAAGATGGTGAAAAAGATAAAAAGAGAGAAAAGATAAGTTCAATCAAATTTATCAAGACAATATGGGAGAAAGAAGGACTGCTAGGATTCTATAATGGCCTAGGGATCACTATCTACTCTTGTGTAATCTCTTATGCAGTCTATTTCTTCTGTTACAGGTTTTGCAAAATTGCATTTACCCTTTCTCTGGGAGAACTAACTCCAAATAAGATTCTGATGGTTACTACTATTGCAGGAGCCATTGCAAATTTAGTGACTTTACCTATGTGGAAAATACAAACAAGAGTACTTGTCTCTAAAATAAATAAAACAGTCTGGAAACATTGCACAGAAGCTTATAAAGAGTCAGGAATCAGCGGATTTTGGAGAGGCTATATTCCTGGACTTGTCCTCACCATTAATCCTGTTATTAATTTTACTTTATACGAAATTGGGAAATCAGTCTTTATACCTGAATCAATAGAGTCGCCAGCTGCATGGAAGATATTTTTGATAAGTATTTGCTCAAAATTTATCTCCTCCATCACTACATATCCCATTTTGACTCTAAAGACGAAAATTTTCGTGAACAATGATGGAAAATCTTCAACAAAAATACTGCAGGATTTCATAAAGAAAGAAGGGTTCTCAGCTCTTTACAGAGGAATCTATGCTAAACTAATCCAGACCCTGCTATTCAATAGCTTCATGATGGTCTTCTTTGAGAAGATCAAGTTCATGATTGAGTTCTCCCTAGCTCACAAGACTGTCTATTAGGTTAGACTAACTTTGTAATAATTCGATTTGTTCTATTAACAATTTTAAATGGGGTTTTGGGGTTTTGGGGTTTTGGGGTTTTGGGG